TCCTTAAGTTTTATAAAACGATTTTCCGAGTTTTATAAAACGATCTTTAAGTTTTATAAAACGACCTTCGAGTTTTATAAAACGGTTTTTCAAGTTTTATAAAACAATTCTCGAGCTTTATAAAACGATCTTCGGGTTTTATAAAACTACTTCTCGGGTTTTATAAAACTATTCTCGAGTCTTATAAAATGATCTTCGGGTTTTATAAAACGGCCTTTCGAGTTTTATAAAACGGTCTGCGAGTTTTATAAATGACTTTGAGTTTTATAAAACTATTTCTCGGGTTTTATAAAACTGTTACTTTTGTATTTTCGCGGGGAGTTTTGGTTATTAATTCCGTCGTACCGATTTTGACCCCAACACTCTGCATGCCATCTCATTGGTTTGGCTGTGCGTTCTGACTGATATAACCTCTTCAGTCTTTCTGTCAAAGGTAAATACCACATCTTTTTGAATGGCACCGGAACTCTTCCTCTCGTATCCTGATAACGAGGTTTCCGACAAAATTTGCATTTATCCCTGTTCTCATCTTTTCCCCAGTAGATCATGCAGTTGTCTATACATACATCTATCACTTGATACCGTAAACGAAGACCCGCTACAAGTTTCTGAACCTCATAGTATGAACCCGGTGCAAGATTATCCTCTAGTAGAACACCTTTAATATAATCAGCAATCGCATCCACGCATTCTTCAGCCAAATTATAATCTGTCTTAATACCCATCAATCTAGTTGCAGATGATAAGGGTGAATGACCATCTCTGTAACCTTTATAGAAAGGTTGTCTTCCTGCATCCAACATATCAAAAAATCTCCAAGACTCTGCATTGGGTTCCCTCCCCTCTATAATGGTCATGTACCATCTGCTCAGTACCAACACCATAATCTACATCCGTTCTAGGTTCTCCTACCCTATCAACAGGCTGATGTTCACTACTACTAACATATTCATAACCAGTTTCTCCATGAAGATACCAAATCTTATAATTCCGTGTAAACCCTCTCAAATATAAATGTGACCAAACATCCCATTCCTTTATAATCCTACTATTAGTGCAAGAAGAGCAGGGACATCTTAACATACCATTATTTGCTTCCGGTTGTTGTTGAACAAGCCTCATGAATTCTCCAATACCTTCCAAGTATTCATCCATAAGCATTTTGGTGTTTGGATCCATGTGAGGTTTATCCATCCAAGAACAAAAATAATTTCCAGAAGACATTTTTCTTTTGGATTTATAATGAGTAAAGAGAGAGTGAAGAGTGAATAGTGAATGAGGTGAATGAGGAGAGGTTGTATTTTTAGAAAATTGCTTACGACACTCCGACGGTTTCTGACAGAATTCCGACGACTTTTTTAAATTCGTCGGAATTCCGTTGGTATTTTTTAAAATATAAACGGCTATAAAACGGTCATATTCTTGTCGGAAACGGTCAAAAAAGTTGTCAGAATTCCCTCAGTATATACCGACGAAATTCCGACGAGTACAACGGTAATATATTTTATGGGGCTGTCATCGGAATTTCGTAAGACGTTTCCAACGAACACGTTTCCGTCGGAAATGCGTCGGACTAGTCCGACGAATTACCGACGAAGTCGGGTTTTTTGTGTTTGTCGGTATGTCGTCGGAAAGTCGTCACTTTTGTCCGACGATTTTGTTGTCCGTCGGACACTCCGTCAGAATCTACCTTGTTTTCTAGTAGTGATGATATATATACTGATATGAAAAATAAATAGCAATTTTTTTTGAAAAATACATCCGCGCGGACAGACTAAAATCTAGTTTGAATTAAAATATATTTTATACTTTTCACATATCTTGTACGCAGATTCGCAGCTTGCATTTGGTTTTGAACGCTTTTTTCTCATATATATTCTCAACTTGCTGAGGGTCATACCTTTCATAGTGACTTCTCTGTTTCTCATCATCAATTCATCTACCCTTCTTGTGTTCAACAATGAATCACAAGCCACAAAAGTCTCTTAAGCAAAATATGCAATAGGCTTCCTATGTACCGCAGCTGCTTCTGCTGACTATGGACTGCGTCTATCTCTCATGCAGCTCATACTTCACAAAGTTCCAAAGAAGAATACATCATGCGTTGTCATGTATATGATAAACTATCAGTCTCTGGTTGTAAACTTGCAACATGTGAACTTTTGGTTGGATTTTTTTTTGCAAGAGGGGAGTGGAAAAGCTAGAAACTCGGTGAGGTTTCATATGTTGATTCTGGTTTTCACAGCTATTATCTGGCATTTGGCATTGACCTCAGAGTCATCTTCTTTGTTCTCCAATGGCATAACCTCCATGAGACTACCTATTGTTCTGATACTAGCAGTGGTTATGATACACATAGTAGATATGTATATGATTCATTATTATATGTGAGTACGTAGTAAGTGATCTTTTCAGTTCTTCATGCAGTAAGAGAGAGCAATACTTAGCCTAACGGAGCTTTTGTCTTCGTTTATTTGTATTTTTAATCGCAGTAAAGTACTGTTTCTTCAAGTATACCAGAGAAAAATTTACAGAATGAGCAGCTTCAAAATTATCAGCAAGATACTCATTAAAAGTAGTCTACTACTACAAGCAAGATGGTAAAGTTTAGATATAATTTAGGCTCTTGCAGCTTGTAAAGTACTAATTATTAGAGTGTCAATCATTCCAACATAATGAACTGTTGGGCCCAAATATGCCCGCTAGCTGAGATTAATGGGCTCGAGCGATAAGAGTTGACTTTGGACCACTGTATGTCTATTGGCAATTAATCTTTTGAGAAAAGAGTTAAAAAGAAGCCGGAGGCTGTTTGCTAAGGAAGGAACGTCAACAAAACAGGTCACGGAGGAGAGCTCTGGACCTCATTTACAAAGAGCTAACATGAGTAGCTCAGGCTGGTTGCGCAGGACCCGGTCAAAAGGAGGCTGTTGAGAATCCCCCAACTCACAGAGCAAATCTCGGAGGCTGGTGAGGATTGTTCAAACGTGGCTGAGAGCTATTTAAGGAGGAGGAGGAGATCATAGAAAAGGCTCCTCTCTCGATTCATTGACTCTACCATTTACACACATTCTAGTTCACAAATCTTTCTCATAATTCTTTGTAATCATCAGAATCGTCTTGATAATCATCTTTGTAATCATTCTTTCACCAAAAACATCAATACAATCATAATTCATTCTCTAAGTTCTAACGGGATTCAACCCACGTTATCTTCTCTCCAATCTAAACCTAACCTAAAATTAGAAAGTGAGTTTTATCCCTCACATTTTGGCGCCGTCTGTGGGGAAGAGATAATCGAATCCCTTACTCTGTAACTTGAGAATGGATCCATCCAACCAAGCAACGAAACCATCTGTCCCCGACCCCGTGGTCCAGATCGACGGGTCACCAAACGGAAGAGACTCTAGTCTCCAGGTCCCGGAGCCTCGACACACCGATCACCGATCTGAGCAACAGCCTCCGGCTAGTGCTCAACCGAACCAGATCACCACTTGAATAAATAACCCAAGGTCCTCCAGTGGAAACAGCTCCGGGGTAACAGCCCCCGAGAACCCTCAGCGTCAACCCGCTCCGAATCAATCGGAGGCTCAGCTATCTGAGATCTGTCGAATGATGGTGCAGTTAGTAGACAAAGCTCAAGAGAGTGAGCGCATGTTGCAACAGCTAACTACTAAGCAGCAACGATTTGAAGAGCACTGCTCTAGATAGGCAGGGACCTGTTCTCCAGACACCCTATGCTGAAACAGCTCCCGCATTTAAGCCACCTGTAACTAGCGCCATGGGAAGTAACGTAGCGACAACCAGCTCTATGCTTGATCGGGTTACTGACCAGAGCACACGCTTGCCACCTTCTCCACCTGTTTTCAGGTCCAGAGAAGGAATATCATTTCCTTCTGGGGGCAGAACATCGGCTTCGGCTTATCGGACTGAGAATGTAACCATGAATCTGGGCGCTCATTAAAGGGCGGAAGCTGACCCCGCAGCTCACCCCACTGGTGACACTCATCAAAATAACCCATGAGCTAGTGAGCAATTTAGCCAGGCGGCTGCCTGGAAGAATGGCCAAACTCGACTCCGTCAGGAACCTGTTCGTCAGGTACCTAATAATGACCCAGTTGTCCTTCCTCTAGAGGGACCTAAGGCTATTCACAGATATATGGAGAAAACTCATGCAGCTCTCCAAAATTTGAATGCTCAAGTTCACAAAGCGACGAGCTCAGCTCCCGAAATTGAGAGTTTGATTGAGGAAACCCGTGGAACTCCATTCACTTACAGAATTGCCAGCTCTTACATAAGAGATACCCAAAAAATTAGGATCCCTGAATACGATGGAACCTCAGGTCCTAAGGCTCATTTGAAAGCTTTCCGACAAGCTATCGTGAAAGCTCACTTTACGAGAGAAGAATGCGAGGCGGGTTACTGCAGAACATTCGCCGAAAACCCGGTCGGAACAGCTCTCGAATGGTTTTCGAGCCTTGAGCCGAACTCAATAGACAATTTCGACCAGCTCACCAACGCCTTCATGAAGCAGTACTTGACCCATATCCTAAAGCAAACTTCCGAGGCCGACCTCTGGAAAATCAGACAAGGAATGGGAGACTCATTACGGGTCTATATCGAAAAATTCAGAGCAGTGAGAACTAAGCTCTCGGATCCCAACGATCAAGTTGCCATCGAATCCCTTAGAACAGGCCTCTCGTATAAATCGAAATTCTGGTCCGAGCTAACGCTCAATCCTCCCCCAACTATCTATGATGCCCTTCACAAAGCATCTAGATATATTACCTTGGAAGAGGAAACAGCTGCACTGGATAAAATTCATAAGAAATCTCAAAATCACCCGAACGGTGAAATCTCAGAAGCAAAAGGATCTTCTAAAAAGGGGAGCTTCCGAAATAATCAGACCCGGGGAGAACATTCTTATGCAGTCGAGGAAGCCCAACATGACAAACCTGTTGCCGCGACAAACAAAACCCCTTGGTCAAAGGGCTACGATGAGAATAAACACTGCTCTTATCACGATTGAAAATGACACTCAACTGAGGAATGTTGGGACCTCCAACGACAGTTGGCAGCTAAATTCGTAGCTGGAGAGCTAAAGGACGTGGAACTCAAAAAACCACCACCCTACCAGAAAAGAGGTCCCAGATGTGGGTGTCGAAATCCACCTACTGTCAAATAATCGTAAATAAGGAAACTTCGGGAAAACCCTAAGTTTTCAGAGGAACCGACTATCTGCAGAACCGCACAACGAAGATTAAGATAACAAGAAAACTTTAGAATTATTAAAAGATAAACGAAAATCGAGAGCAAAGAGGTTCTTATTCCGAATCTGTGTAGAACTGGTACAAAGAGAGTAGCCGAAAACTTAAGAACGAAAAACCCTAATTGAGACGCAGCTCGCTAACAGAAAAACGGAAAGATTCCTAAATGCTAGTTTTGGTGGTGAGAGCTCTGAATTTCGTGTCCATTGCTTCTGCCCGAGACCTCCTATTTATATACTCCTCGCCTTGGCCATCTGGTCTTTCCATTTCACCCAGATTTGACTATATCAGGAATTTTCCACTTTTCTTGATGCTTCCTTTTCTTCCGCGGAAATCTTCTATTTTTCTTCAAACCTTCCTTTTATCTTCAAACTTGACTTCTATTTTCCTCGTGCGAGTAAACCGTCAAAACATTATCAAATCTGCGGGTTAGATTTCGTAAATATCGCGAGATGGGTTTTTATCGCGTTTTAGGCCCCTCCGGGCCGTTTTGCGATAAATCCGTTTTCCGACTCTTTACAGGATCGTTTCCTGATCTGACATCGTTTTTTAATAAATTCCTCGAGTTAATAGTAAGGTTTTACGATTTACTCGACTTTTTATTAAAAACATGTTATTTACGATTTACTCGACGTTTTTATTAAAAACGCGTTTTTTATGATTTCGACGAGAAATCTCAAATAAATAGTATGTTTTAGGCAATGTTCGGTGTTTCGTTTAACCGTCGCCGTTTTATACGATTTCTTCGAGTTCTTTATCGAGAAAGCAAAGTTTTTACGGTTTTTATCGTAAAACTCGAACAATAGGTCGGATCGAGATGGAACGGGAGATGTTTCGGCCGTGGTTCAGAATGCGACCGTGTCGAAAGACGTAAGTTTCAAATCGGGAATGCGGGAGAATGAGGCTCGGGACGTCCAGGAAGTTTCTAGTTCGCCCATTGGCGAACTAAGCCGGGCCAGCTTAGTTCACCAATGGGCGAACTAGTTGACCATCTCC